GTGGAACTCCCTGTGGGGCCACGAAACGCTGTGCTGGGTGGGGGAGACGCATGCGAACACCGCCACTGGGGCCGTAGGTGGAGCTCCCTGTGGGGCGACAAAACGCTGTCCTGGGTGGGGGAGACGCATGCGAACACCGCCACTGGGGCCTCTAGTGGATCTCCCTGTGGGGGGCACGAAACGATGTACTCGGTGGGGGACACGCATGCGAACACCGCCTCTGGGGCCGCAGGTGGGGCTCCACGTGGGGGCCACGAAACGCTGTACTGGGTGGGGGAGACGCATGCGAACACCGCCACAGGGGCCTTAGGTGGAGCTCGATGTGGGGCCACGAAACGCTGTCGTGGGTAGTGGAGACGCATGCGAGCACCGCCATTGCACTGTGGGGCCACGAAACGCTGTGCTGGGTGGGGGACACGCATGCGAACACCGCCACTGGGGCCGTAGGTGGAGCTCCCTGTGGGGCCACGAAGCGCTGTCTTGGGTGGGGGTTACGCATGCGAACACCGCCAGTGGGACCTTAGGTGGAGCTCGATGTGGGGCCACGAAACGCTGTCCCGGGCGGGGGAGACGCATGCGAACACCACCACTGGGGCCGTAGGTGGAGCTCCCTGTGGGGGCCGCGAAACACTGTGCTGTCCTGGGTGGGGGAAACGCATGCGAACACCGCCAAAAGAGCCTCAGGTGGAGCTCGATGTGGGGCCACGAAACGCTGTCCTGGGCGGGGGAGACGCATGCGAACACCGCCACTGGCACCTTAGGTGGAGCTCCCTGTGTGGCCACGAAACGCTGTACAGGGTGGGGGAGACGCATGCGAACACCGCCACTGGGGCCTTAGGTGGGGCTCCCGATGGGGCCACCGTACTGGGTGGGGGGACCGTCACTGGGGCCTTAGGTGGGGCTCCCCATGGGGCCAGCGAGACACTGTCCCGGGCCGGGGAAACGCATGCGAACACCGCCACTAGGGCCTTAGGTGGGGTTCCCTATGGGGCCGCGAAACCCTGTGCTCGGTGGGGGAGACGCATGCGAACACCGCCATTGAGGCCTTCAATGGGGCTCTCTGTGGGGCCACGAAACGTGTAAGGGGTGTGGCGAAATTGGTGGCGATGATGGTGACGGTAACGCTGGTGATCATGACGTCGATGATGATGATGATGATGATGATGATGATGATGATGATGATGATGATGATGATGATGATGATGATGATGATGATGATGATGATGATGATGATGATGATGATGATGACGATGGCATGGCGATGACGATGACGATGACGATGATGATGACGATGATGATGATGATGATGATGATGATGATGATGACGACGACGACGACGACGACGACGACGACGACGACGACGACGACGACAACGAGGACATGCGCAGGGCAGAGGCAGGGATGGGAGGAGGGAGGAAGGAAGGAAGGAAGGAACGCGGGAACCGTCTCTTCAAAACGAGGGCCCAACACCACAGGATGGTTGGAACTAGACTGCATCAAGCAATACGACAATGCCCGTTCATCACGCTACGGTGGGTTCACGTCATGCTGACCCTGGCATTGTTCTTTACGCCGCGGGGATCGTTCAACATTGAGCGGCCGTTTCCGAAACGTCTGACCTTCCGACGTGGGACGATCTTGAGACACCAGCAGCCACCTTGCCAACACAATGCCGCAGGAATCTGCGACTGACCCCCAAGGAGCAGTTCCACGGCAACTGCTTCACCTCAACCGCTCCGCACGCACCGCCTCCGAAAAGTGGCCGCCGCCCAGACGCACCGCCTTGACAACACCCAGGCAAACGACGGCAGCGAGACAATATGGGCCAGAAAAATGAGCGAAGCGATAAATTTCGTCTCCCGCCGCCCCCCCGGGCACGGCGTGTGAGATCCCGCCGCATGGTCTGCACGAACTATGTCCCCTCAGCCCCTTGCCCACGCACTCCTCGTGCCCGTGCCCTTCCTCAGAGCCCACTCCTCCCGGGGCCCTCCCCGCGGCCTCCTCATTCCGTCGGCCCGGGGGCCCGGGCTGCGGCCGGGGTGCCTTCCTGCCACCACTTCCACCCCAAAACGACCCCCCTTTCACGCGCTCGGCTTCCGAGCGCCACCAGCCCTCTCAGACACCTCTCCGGGAACTTGCTGGGCCCGTTTGGGGGGCCTCTCGGGGCTCTTTCTGGGCGGATCTTGACCGCCCCTCGGGCCACCAACGGCCGTCCCAGATGCCTCCCAACCTCGCTCCGAGTATCACACACCAGAAGCCCCCAACTAGCAAAGAATGTTGCAAGCACGCATAGGAGGAGGAGGAGGAGGAGGAGGAGGAGGAGGAGGAGGAGGAGGAGGAGGAGGAGGAGGAGGAGGAGGAGGAGGAGGAGGAGGAGCAGAAGGAGGAGGAGGAGGAGGAGGAGGAGGAGAGGAGGAGGAGGAGGAGGAGGAGGAGGAGGAGGACGAGGAGGAGGAGGAGGAGGACGAGAGGAGGAGGGAGGAGGAGGAGGAGGAGGAGGAGGAGGAGGAGGAGGAGGAGGGAGGAGGACGAGGAGGAGCAGGAGGAGGAGGAGGAGGAGGAGGAGGAGGAGGAAGACGAGAGGAGGAGGGAGGAGGAGGAGGAGGAGGAGGAGGAGGAGGAGCAGGAGGAGGACGAGAGGAGGAGGGAGGAGGAGGAGGAGGAGGAGGAGGAGGAGGAGGTTCCCGTCACTCTCTTGCACCTCCCCTGTACCTCCGCGGCCTCCTGCGGCCCTCCTAGAACCTGCGGGTGGCCTCTGCGGCCGCCCGAGAACGGCCTCTCGGGGCCCTCCACGCCCGTCGGGGCTCCTCTGTTTGGTGCTGCCGTGAGCGGCCGTGGGCGCGCCCAGGAGGTGCCTGGAAGCCCCTCTCTGAGGCCCCCGAACTCACCTGCGATGCTCCTTTCTGCCTCTCTGTGCCTCTCTTCGGCTTCCTCCGGACCTGTCTGCCCGCCTCCTGACGGAGGACAGCTTGGGGAGCTGGACCCAAGCCGGGCCCGCCGGCGGGCCCAGAATGGGCCCAGCCCCGCATGGCGCTGTGTGATCGGGTGGTGGCGTCGGTGGTACGGGCCCAACCTTGGGTTGCGCCACCCACCCTGCTGACAGAGGGTCCCTTGAAGGGGCCCTGGGACACACAAATAAATACACACAAATAAAAATATCCCCCATATTTTCCTATATTTTCTGGGGTTTGTCTTCCCCCCCACTTCCCATATTTTCCTATATTTTCTGGGAGTCGCCGATTAATTGTGTCTGTGTGTTTCTTTCCCTCCTGACACCCACCCTGCTGACAGAGGGTCCCTGTCCATCAGGGAAGGCCCACCAGAGCCAGGTCAAAGGTCAGGTCCCTTCGGCTGCCTCCGCCGCCCTCGGCGCCGCCGGGTCCCCTTTTGTCGCCCGCTCTCGGGCCCCCCATTGGGGGCCCTCTGGGGGCCTTCTCGGGCTCCTCTCCGGGTCTCTCTTGCTGGGTAGTCGAAGCCAATCTGGCGCCAATCTGGCAGGCCCAATCTGGCAAACGGGGGCAGTCTGGCGAGGGAGCCAACGCGAATCCAGTCTGGCGAATAACCCAAATCCTCCAATCTGGCCTGGCCAGATTGGCCCTTGGGGCCCAATCCAGTCTGACAGTCTGGCCTTCGACTACCCAGTCTTGGACCGTCTGGGGCCGTGCTGGACCCCCCAAAGGAAACTCCAGGCTCCAATGAAGAGTGAGGCGACGGTGTCTGCCCCCTCAGGGGCGTTCAGTGAAATGTCGCCTCGCGTGGGTCGAACCGCCGCCAAGACGGCCGAGATGGCTCAGGATGGCCTCCAAGATGCCTCCATGTCGGCCAAAATGGCCCCAAGAAGGCCAAAGATGGTCCACAAATGAACCAAGACGGCCCAAGATGCACCCAACATGGCCCAACATGGCTCCAAGATGGCCAAAAAGGCTCCCAACAGGCCAACAAGACGGTCCAAGAGGCCTCCAAGAGGTCATACAGAAAGGCCCTGCGAAGAGGAAACCATTGATAATCCAAAGGTTTTTGAAGGTTTTTGGCATGTACTTCAAAACTGCCTTCCGACGGCCCAAGTCGGCCCAAGAGGCCTTCAAGATCGCCCCCAGAGCGCCCAAGAGGCCTCCAAGATGGCCCCAGGACAGCCATACGTAGATGCTTCCAAGACGGCCTCCAAAGGGCCACAAGACAGCCCCAAGGGGCCTCCGAGACGGCCAAGATGGCATTCCAGACGACCCTGAGAGCCTCCCAAAATAGCATCCGACGGCGTCAGACAGGCCAGGAACGCCGTAAAACGGCCAAAGAGGCCTCAAAGAAGCCTCCAAAGGTCCCCAAAGGTCCAAGGAGGCCCCCAGGAGCCATCCTAGAGGCCCCCAGGAGGCTCCCAGGAGGCCGGAAGAATGAACCAAGGGGCTCCCAAGAGGTCTCCCTCGTCATTCTACTCATCCTCCTTTCTCCTCCCTCTCCTTATACTCCTCTTCCTCTCCCACGTAATCCCCGAAGGGCTTCCACAAAGGCTGGGAGAAATAGCGTCAGACTGTTCCAAAATGTTTGGCCACATAGGCGTACTCTCAAAGGCAGGTGGGCGGCGGTGATTCGCCGTAGGCATCTTCGATAATGTGAGCGTTGGGCATATATGTGTAAGTTTGGCATTCGTATTGCTACGCTTTTACTCATCGTGTCATTGCTAGCTGTCTTCTTCGTCGTGTTAGTAGTCTCCTTCTCCTTGCCATTGTCATTCGTATGTGTGGATTCGTCTTCTTCTTATTATTATTCTTCTGCTCGTACGACTCAGCGGCGGAGCGACCGTGGCGGAGCCCTCGGCGGCGGAGCCCTCGGCGGTGGAGCGACAGCTTCGGCGCCACAGCGGCGGGGCACCCGGCGACGGAGCACTCGGCGGCGGCGGCGCCCCCGCGGGCGGGCGCGGCGGCGGCCGCGGGAGCGGCCGCGGCGGCGCGAGCGGCAGCGGCGGCGGAGCACCCCGGCGGCGGCGCTCGCCGCGGCGCGCGGTCCTGCCCGAGCGCCATGGCGGAGCCCGGGCGCCGCGGGCGCCGCGGGGCTCCGGCCGCCCCGCCCGGGGGGTGCTGCGACGCGCGGGGCCACGGGGCTCGCAGGAGGGGCGGCGGAGCCTCGGGGCGGAGGGCGGAGGGCGAGAGCGGAGGAGGGGGGGGAGAGGGGGAGAGGGCGGCAGGGGGAGGAGGAGGGAGGAGGAGGAAAGGAGGAGGGAGGAGGAGGGAGGAGAGGAGGACAGGGCGAGAGTGGAGGAGGAGGAGGAGGAGGAGGAGGAGGAGGAGGAGGAGGAGGGCGGAGGATCCGCGGCGTTGAAGTCCCGTGAGCAGTGTTCTGGTAAGGTTGAAGATGTTCAGACGGTTGAATTCTACTAGGCCACTTCGTGCGATGAGAGAATAGTTGTGTAGGTTTGTTGCGCCCTGCCGTTGGAAATGTTACTGGCTTCGCTGATTCGAAGCCTTCTTCTGCAACTGCGCGTGCTGCTTGATCAAATTACGCATGCCTAGCGGGAGCCCGTTTTGCCAACCGCCTGAGCTGCTGCTTGCCAGAGCGGTTCACCACCTTGGCCCAACCATCATTGAGATGTCTGACGGCCTAGGTGGCTACACACAGGTCAAAAACTGATCGTCCCCCCCCCCCCACTGCTCGCGAGAACCAGCCGAATGAGAATCATGGGGCAACTGACCATTGTCCATCGGAGCCTGCGGAATCACCACGACCCAATTGGACAGGCCCGCGTGGCAAGGGGTCTGTAGGAACTTGTCCATGAAGTGCCTAGGGGATGAGCCCCACAGGCACTGCAACCAATTCTGGAGCCTGCTCTGACTTCTAGAACGTAGGCCGTGAGCAAAAGCTGGATCTTCATATCATGAGCTTCTCTGGCTATGTTCTTCTGGTTCGGGACTCGGTCCCTCGGCCTCTATACCAGCTGGGAGAGTTTGTCAAAAGTGCGGCTTATGCTGGTACGCGGCCTGGGAATCAGAACGGCAGTCCCTCTCGGTCCCACTACCCCTGATGTGACTAGCCCATGCCCTGACAACACCGTCAACAAGCCCGTTGACCAAGAAATCGAGCTGGTCCGACCCTTGTCCGCTGACGCCGCTCCTCTTGCGATGACTCTCTACCCTGACCAGGACCGCCTCGACTGCTCGGACTGGAGCACGTCCCTGACTTCGTGCCAGGCATCTGAATGAAACTCAGGACTCAAGCCGCTCTGCACTTTGGTCACGCGATTCGCAGTGACGGTGGACTGCAGCGTCGTTGACGCGCCTTGGGTGTGCAAGAGGCCCTCATTCTCTTGCGCGCCCCCCTCCTCCTCCCACGAGCTGCTTGTGCCATGTCAGGCCCCGTCAGCGTAGCCGCGCGACCCGCGTTTCTAGGGGACCAAAGAGTGACATAAACATGAAAACTCAGAGGTCCGCGGGGATTTCTCCCGAGGCGCCGCCGGGGGCCCCAGCGCCGATCCGAGACATCCGCGCGGACCTCCGAGTTTTTATGTTTATGTCACTTTTTGGTCCCCTAGTTTCGCCCTCGCGAGGCCCTCGACGGGGCCTCTGGAATCCACGGCACGCTGCCTCGAAGCCAGCGCTGCTTGCTGCGCAGCGAACGCGGGCGGCGCGGCGCGGCGAGCCCCACCCTCGAGCCCGCTCTCGGAGTCGACGACCTCTGTGAGCCTCAGCGTTTTTTGTTGTGTTGTTGTTTTGTTTTTGTTTTCTGTTTGTTTGTTGTTGTTGCTTTGTTTTTTTTATTTTTTGCTGTTTCCTGTTTTTGATTGTTTTGTTTTTTGTTTTTTGTTTTTTGTTTTTTGCTTTTTTTATTAGCGCCTTGAAGCGCCAAAGAAACCTTCGACTCCCAACGAAGGGGGCGGGGCGGCCCGGAGGCTTGCCGGGCGGCGGTGGGGGGGGGGAGACTGCTGCCCGTCGCAGGCCTCGCTGGCCTGGACGAGATCCGGAACGTTGTGGGGCGTGTGGTGGAGCTGCCCTGGAGGATCCGCCCTGTCCTCCCCGCGCCCCTCGTCGCTCTCCGGAGCTCCACGAGGAGCCGAAGGGGCCCCTGGGGTCCGAGGACTCTTGCAAATGTGTCAAACGAATGCGCTCGGCGCCAAGGTGAGAGCCACGTTTTGAAAAGGAAACGCCCTCAATCGAGTGGAGGAGCAGAAGGAGGAGCAGGAGGAGGAGGAGGAGCAGGAGGAGGAGGAGAAGGAGGGGGAGGAGGGGGAGGAGGGGGAGGAGGAGGGGGAGCAGGAGGAGGAGGAGGAGGAGGAGGAGGAGGAGGAGGGAGGAGCCTCTTGCAAATGTGTTTAAATCGAACGTGCGCGGCGCTCGGGCGAGGGCCGCATCCGGAGAGCGGCCCGCCCTCGATCCGCGAAGCCCTGTGCAGATGTCTCAAACGAGCGTGCGCGGCGCTGGTCAAGGGGCCCAAGGACACGCGCCAGTCAAGGGGCCCAAGGACACACAAATAGATACACACAAAAAAAGGTGCTCCCCCATATTTTCCTATATATCTTCTGGGTTTCTGTCTCCCCGCCCAATGCCCATGTTTGCCCATATTTCCTCGGGGATCGACGGTTCATTGTGTCTGTGTTGTGTGTTTTCCCCTCCTGAGCTGGGCCGCTCTGCTGGCCCCTGGCCACGACGGGGCCCTCGGCGGGCCGTGCCCGGCCGCCTCGACGGCCCCGTCGGACGGGGCGCCGGACTCCGCTGCAGGGGGGCCCCGTGGCCTGGCCGCCCGTGGCCTCGGAGGGCCGCGCGCCGCAGGCAGGCGTCGACGGCGTGGTCGGGCGGGGTGACGATCGTCGTCCTCCTTCTCCCCCTCCACCCTTCCCCCTTCTGCTCGTCCTTCTCTCTTCTCCCTCCCCCTCCTCTTCCTCCTGCTTCTCCTCCTCCTCCTCCTCCTCTTCCTCGGCCTCCTCCACCCCTCCTCCTCACTCCTTCTTCTCCCCCACGTTCTTTCTTGATGAAACCTCGCCCTCGCGCGCGCGAATGCGCCTCCGTGGCGGCCCGTCTGGTCTTCCCCTGCGCTGAGCTCGCCACCACGGTGTGATACCAGCGAAGTTATCCTCCTCCTCCTCCTCCTCCTCCTCCTCCTCGTGCTCACCCTCCTCCTCCCCATCATCAGCGACAGCAGCACCAGCACCTCATAGCCAACATCAGCGGCAGAATCATCATCTGCATCAGAATCAGCAACAGCATCAGCACCCGCATCATCATCAACCGCATCAGCATCAGCATCGTCAACATCGCTCACCTTACCAATTCAACCAGTATGCTCAGTGTCGTCATCATCATCATCAGCAGCAGCAGCAGCAACATCAGCCATGATCATCATCGCCCGCAGCAGCGTCAGCACAGACAGCATCGGCATATCCAGCATCATCAGCATCATCATCATCACCATCATCATCAGCATCATCATCATCATCATCATCATAATCATCATCATCATCATCATCATCAGCATAAGCATCAGCATCGTCATCATTATCATCATCATCATCATCATCATCATCATCATCATCATCATTATCATCATCATCATCATCATCATCATCAGCATCATCATTATCAGCAGCATCATCAGCATCATTATCAGCATCGTCATCGTCGTCGGCGTCGCCGCCGTCGTCGCCAGCATCATCAACATCATCAATACCAGAATACGGATCATACTCAGCGTCAACCTTCAACCGCATCATCAGCAACATCAGCATCATGATCGACTTTGCCATCATAATCACCATGAGCAGCATCATCCGCATCATAGGTATCGCAATCACCATCATCAGCATCATCAGCATCATCATTACCCGCAGAAACCTCATCATCGGCATCATCCTTAATTTCAGTATCTTCGCCATACTCAGCATAAGCATCATCATCATCACCAAAAACACCACCACCACCACCACCACCAGCATCATCCTCATCAGCATCAGCATCATCATCAGCATCATCATCATCATCATCGTCATCATCATAATCATCATCATCATCATCATCATCATCATCATCATCATCATCATCATCATCATCATCATCATCATCATCTTCGTCATCATCAGCATCACCATCATCACAACAATCATCCGCAGCAGCAACAGCATCATAATCATCACCATCCTCAGCAGCAGCATCATCGACATTGTCATCATCGGCATCAACACCTACATCATCAACTGCATCATCCTCATCGTCATCATTATCACCATCATCATAATCGTCCTCATCAGCAGCAGCAGCAGCATCATCAGAGTCATAATAATCACCACCACCATTACCATCATCAATATCATCATCAGCATCATCGTCAGCAGCAACATCAGCAGCATCATTATCATCAGCAGCAGCATCATCATCCTCATCATCATCATGATCGTCAGCAGCATCATCATCATCATCCTCATCATCATCATCATCATCATCATCATCAGCATCGTCATCATTATCATCATCATCATCATCATCAGCATCATCAGCATCATCATCATTATCAGCAGCATCATCAGCATCATTATCAGCATCGTCATCGTCGTCGGCGTCGCCGCCGTCGTCGCCAGCATCATCAGCATCATCAATACCATAATACGGATCATACTCAGCGTCAACCTTCAACCGCATCATCAGCAACATCAGCATCATCATCGACTTTGCCATCATAATCACCATGAGCAGCATCATCCGCATCATAGGTATCGCAATCACCATCATCATCAGCATCATCAGCATCATCATTACCCGCAGAAACCTCATCATCGGCATCATCCTTAATTTCAGTATCTTCGCCATACTCAGCATAAGCATCATCATCACCACAAACACCAACACCACCACCAGCATCATCCTCATCATCATCATCATCATCATCATCATCATCATCATCATCATCATCATCTTCATCATCATCATCATCATCAGCGTCATCATCATAATCATCATCATAATCATCATCATCATCATCACCACCACCATCATTATCATCATCATCAACATTATCATCAACATCATCATCATCATCTTCATCATCATCAGCATCACCATCATCACAACAATCATCCGCAGCAGCAACAGCATCATAATCATC